AAGGTATAAAAACCTTCACTTCGGACTTGGCATCGGTCAGTGTCTCCCGTCTGCTGGGTTGGGATCCCGAGGATAATAAACGCATTTGGTTGGATACACAGGTTGACGGCAGAGAGCAAGCCCTAGTGTTGTTTCGGGAGTTAATTTGCCCTTTCCTCGCTTACCTTTCCCCCTCCATGAAAAATCTCCCACTCCATAGACAATATTGTACTGATTATTCTATTCCCTGAGTGTTTATTTTTGTGTTATGTAATGTTTAGCAGACCGCTTCTTCGTATACCTTTTTATATCGCAGTACAATAGCTGAATTGTGTTTCTCTTTTAACTTCAGCTAACGTGTAATAATGTCTATAAATTTCCCTCGGTAGGCGCTGCCAAGAACGAGGTGGCCGTAAACTAAAAGGAGGCTGTCTTGATAGGTTGCTTGCGTGCAAAATGTGCAGGGCATGTACGGATTAACAGAACTAAGTCAATGGAATAAATAAATAATATTACACTTCTACTTTGCCAAATTCATCCGCACATTAGATCAGAATTAATACACGTCTCTTTGAGTTGCTCAGTTCTGCCATTCGGCAGCACTTTTACTGTACAGTTTGCGTGTATATCTTCTTTCGTATTCTGTATTTTGTTTGATAACCCCCTTGTGGCTACGTTCGATGTGAATGTGACTGCCTGCCAAAAAGCCGCTATAGTTGGTCTTTTCTCGGGGAGAAGAGGTGTGCACACTCCTCGTGACCGTGTTAGACTCAACGATTGGTTCTACGCATCCAGCGTGGAACTGGCTACGAGCCAACGGTCGCCTGGTGTACGTCTCGCAGCATAATTCCCCAACTAGACGGACAAGAATGCTGGATCTTATCGTGATGCTACGGTTTGCGTACCTCATTCACCTATTGAGCTATACTGGGTGGTGCCTCCGGACACCTTGAGAGCTACTCTTACCAGGTTGGTCAATGGTGAGAGGTCAGACAAACTCAGTCTCCTGGTCCTCCAGGTTGGGGGTTTGAAATGGGATGGCGTCCATTTCTGTAAAACTAAATCATTGCCACCTCCCCGCTGCCTTGCGGACAGGCTTTTAAGCCAAAGGTTTTGGATGAGAACCCTAACCGAAGTGCCACTGAAGTAGAACCATCTGCAGCCACCATCCCACCGCACCTATCGGACGCACATCGGCAAAAGTCCCTTATAAGGCCACGCTATCTCGTTTCCATGGCGACATTCAACGTTCGCACTCTAAGACAAACAGGTCAACTGGCTGCACTCGCACGCACGTTGATCCCACTGAGTATTGATGTGTGTTTTGTGTTTGAAACTAGGATCAATGACCCTAACGGGGTTATTGAAATAACTGCACCCGGCTTATCCTCTCCTTATTGGTTGCACGCATCCGGAGACGCCGATGCAACACTCACGGGTCAAGCTGGTGTAGGTATCATTCCAAGCTCCAAGGCTGAATCATCGTTGGTTGATTGGATCCCGGTGAACAGCCGTTTATGTGCAGCCCGTTTGACGACATCAGCTAAGGTTGATTCACGAAGTAGTAAAAAACGTTGTTTGTTCGTGATTTCCGCTTGTGCTCCCACCGACTGCAGTTCTAATGCAGCCAAGGACACATTCTATCACGAACTGAACGCGCTACTACGAAGTGCTACTAGTTCAGATATTATAGTATTTGTAGGGGATATGAACGCACAAGTAGGGCGTCTGAGCTCTTCAGAAGCTCAGCTGGGTGGTAATTGTGGGCTTAACTCCGGACGGACTGAAAACGGTGAGCGTCTGCTGCAACTGTGCGGAGCACCAGTTGTTTCTTAGTAGCACTGCTTTTAGACACAGTGGGAGCCGAAGTGCCACTTGGCGTCCTCCTGTAGCTGGCCAGCGATGGACCCAAATTGACCACATAGCCATAAGTTACAGGTGGCGTGGTTCCATTCTGGATTGCCGCTCGTACTGGAGTATCTGCGTCGACTCTGATCATGCCTTGGTACTTTGTCGTTTCTCCATGAACTTTACCGGGAAGCGCACCAAGTGTCCCCTCCGATTGGCAACGGAGAAATTGTCTCAGTTCTCGGTCAGGCAAGCCTATCAAGAAGCACTGTATACCGAACTTTCGTTGTCTTGTCTTAATGACAGTGAGCTTCAGTGGATCTCGGCCGCCATGCACGACGCAGGAGCATCTGCTTGTGGCACTATCCATCGTCACCGCACCAGTCACTGGATATCCGAGAGTTCGGTAAACCTGTTGGAATCTAGAAGACACTTCCCGGCTGGCTTTGAACACAATGTGACCAGACGGGGTATTAGGCGTGAACTAAAGCGGAGCCTACGTGCTGACAAGGAAGCCTGGTGGACCAGTAGGGCTCAAGAAATGGAGGAGGCAGGAGCAGTAGGCAATTACCACAAGCTCTTCCAGCTAATCCGCACCATTGGTCTCAGAAAACCAAGCGTCGGTGACACAATCTGAGACAGCGCGGGTGCGCTGATACACAATAAGGAGCGCCGTATGGCTCGTTGGGCGGAGCACTTTCAAGATCCGTTCAGCTGGCCCCCTGCTCCCGGACCTCTTCTTACTCAGGTGATGCAGGACGAGCCATGGACGGTTTGTTTAGGGTCTCTGTCGGAGGTCGAGGTCCGAAACGCGATCACAGCCCTTAATTGTTTTCGTGCGGCTGGCCCAGATTCCTTCCCACCTGCACTATGTAAGGATGGAGGTGAGGTCCTCTGCAAAGCACTGACCTTATTCGAATGGATCTGGAAGGAAGTGTCGCGGCTAAATGGAGCGAGACGATTATAGTGGCAATATACAAGAAGGTAAGTCGCACAGATGTATTCGACAAACGCCAGTTGTGACAAAATTATTAGCCTCGATTATCGTTCGTCGCCTCACCGCGGAACGGGAATCTCGGATTAGGGAAGAGCAGGCCGGTTTTCGCCCAGGGTGTAGCTGTATAGACCATATATTCACTTTGAGGCAGGTGCTTGAGCAGCGCCACGCATGCCGCAAATCGATAATAGCTGTGTTCCTCGATTTCAGGAGTGCGTTCGATTCAGTCGATCGATCGGTTCTGTTCGGAATACTTGCGCGGTAAGGTGTTCCCACGAAATATGTGAACATCCTTCGTGCTCTATGCTCGAACACTACAGGCCGCGTCAGGGTCTACGGTGTCCTATCGGATAGCTTTCCGACCAGAAGTGGCGTTCGTCAGGGTTGTCCGATTTCCCTATTTTTGTTCAATTTCGTCGTGGATTCTATCATGGAGTGTTCCGTTGCGGAATCTCACGATGTAGGCGTTGAAGTGCTGCCTGGTGAAAGGTTAGTTGATCTAGATTATGCGGACGATATCGTCTTGCTTTTCGACAATGTTGAGGCGGCACAATCAACTCTGAATAGCCTGTCCAGAGTGGTCCCATTATTTGGTATGCACTTCGCACCTTCAAAGTGCAAAGTGTTGCTGCGGGACCACCAGCCACTTGGTTACCGCTTGACGCTTGCTAACGAGGAACTCGAGGTGGTTGATCAGTTCACTTATCTTGGCAGCTGCATCAGCAATGATGGGCGCATAGAAACTGACGTGAGCTCACGCATTGCAAAATCCAGAACTACCTTCTTGAACCTGCGTCATCTTTGGCGACAGAAGGTAGTTTCCCTCCGTCTGAAAGACCGTGTATACAAGGCCACAGTGAGGGCCGTTCTGCTCTATGACAGTGAGACTTGGCCCCTTCGGTCTGAAGATCTGAGGCGCCTTCAAGTCTTTGATCATCGTTGTCTACGAAGCATTGCTAGGGTCGGATGGCACCAGCGTGTCCTCAACGGTGCTGTGCGTAGGCGAGTACTAGGTAGTGATAATCATACTAGCTCCCTAGAACAAGATAGCACTGAATAAATTGCTTTGGCTCGGGCACGTGCTACGTAGCCTGGTCACCGCTTACCTAGGAGGGCCTTGTTTAGTCTGCCAGGTGTAGGGTGGCGCAAGGCTTGAGGTGGACAGAAGTTGACTTGGCAGCGAGAAATGAAGTCACTGACGACCAAACTTGGTGCCGTTGGTCCGTCTCGCCTCCCGGGCTGGAGTCCACGAGATTTTACAAGACATGACTCGCAGTAGACACCAGTGGCGCGTGTGCTGCCGTCTCCTAATCGGATTGTCTGTTTAAAGTGTGTTCGGTGCTGAGTTATCTGCGGGGTAATTGTTGATTATGGCGCGTGACAGTGAAGGCCGCAAGGAAGCTGTCTCGCCGATGCCGCCTTATCTTTGCACGATAGCCAGCTGTTTGTGACGGTATGTTGTTTAAACAAAGTGTAGGCGCCTTGACCATGAATGTTTGTTTAGGGGATTAAGGTTTTCAGTTAAGTACCCCTTTTCTCCTTCTTCATTTTCTTATTTCATAGATCCTCGTGGTTGTATGGCAGCGAAGCATCAGTACGAATGGCTGATGTATTGCTGTTGATGATGATGATGATGCTGCTGTGCATGTTGAAGCAGCGTGGCCTGCTTCGTTGGTGAAACGTGACTCCTATCCACTTGCGGATTTACACTGGATGTGCGGCATGTGCGTGCTGCAACACAAGCCACCTGTGGTTTCTCTGTTGACGCAGGTGTCCTGTAGCTTTTCTATGGAGGCCGCATTGACAGACAGATCCCTAATCGGTTACCGCCAACCACGTATGCAAATGCTTCTTCACCGCAGTTGGGCTAGTATGACTTACACCAAATCTTATTCCGCACGCTACTTGATCTAACTGAATCCATCTTTTATATGTTCTGTTCTGGTAATACTGCACCTTTTCCGTTTATTTTACTTTTCTACTGGATCAAACTTCATCCACATCTAACAATTTACTCTCTTGCCGTGGATTATTATTTTCGGTTATAAGAGTTCATTGAGCCTAAGCTGTAAACTTGTAGTCATGCTATATGGTTAAACACACCGGATTTCTGTGAAAATGTCTACTTTACTGGCTTGAGTTAATCATAATCGGTTGTGGCGAATTTTCTTTTCAGGTTGCCCGAGCCGGTCGCTTCGGCACCAAGGGGCTGGCAATTACTTTCATCTCGGATGAAATGGATGCGAAAATATTGAACGAAGTTCAGAACCGTTTTGAAGTTAATATCAGTGAGCTTCCAGACGTCATGGAGATCTCCAGCTATATGGAGGACCGCTAAATGTTATATGTTTTACCCCTCTTTCCTCCTTGCCAAAATATTTCGTGCTTTGTACAATCTTTGCTTTCTTTGTAATTCTCCGGAAGAACTAACAGCGGGATTAGTCAATACTTTTGGCGGCGCGAATTTCTAACTTTCACTTTTTCATTCAACATTCTCCGCCAGGTTCCTAGTTTGGAATGTTTTAGTTATCATCTGCATTTAGACTGTACGAACACTTTGAGGTTGTATTGTGTCACCCGAAAGCTGGATTGCGAGCGAGTATTCCTGTAGTCAACCAAAATCCAGCTTTTGCCGTAGTAGTTTCGGTCGTAATCGTCTAGACACCATCTCATTATACTTGTTAGAACCCAAGTGGCAGGCGGTAACTTGTTTATTGCTAAAGTGGCTTACACTAGGTGTGTTCGGTCATACTTTGGAGGCGTCCGTTCATCTGCGTGATTTCCATGGAGTTTTCCCCAATTGGTGCTTGCCTCTGTGTTCACTCCTCGTGCTGTAATCCTGATGTCATCTTCAACTTTGGGGAAGTCGGCAGGGCTATCTGTTGGTGTGTCATCTTGCACCACACTACTTATGCCCGGCGAAGTAGCATCTGCCTTTAATCCACCACATACTGCTGAACCATGCTACCTTGCTTTTACGCATCATTTTCATTACTAGGTCCTTGTCGGCCGGTAGCCGAGTAATCGTTGCCAGCTTTTTAATTGGCGGTGCTGTCCCGGTACTTTTCCGCGTTTACAAAGAATTTGATTTTTATGCGTACTTGGGAAACACAATGACGCAGCCGTTCGTTTTGGATGTTAATAACATACTTCGATGTGACTACGGGAATGGCTTACCAAATACGCTCAGTAGCTCTGCTATATATGGGATGTTTGTAGTTATTTGAGGACGCGCAGAAACTGGTGAACTTCCTACTGCGTAGTTCCTCGGTCGTTCCTACCCATCACTATCCTCAAGATAAATTGCGGTACAGCCTGCGCAGTTGTCGGCGTGAGTTTGTGCGATTTTATCTCTGACTTCCGCTGGTTCTGGAGCATGTGCTGGTTCTTCTCGTACCCCAGCCCTTTGCTATTTTTTCACATTTCCCCCTTTCCTCAATTGGCTACAGAGGAGCCATCGGTTTGGCAAACATAACAGAACACGCCGCATACTAGGCTTTCACTTAATAGCTGACGGAATAAAGTCTTGATGAAGCGGGATTTCAACAATCGTGCATGAGGCGGGAGCTTGTCCCAGTGTCATTCGTCATTTCACTTGATACTTAGCATATGAGCACTTAGTAAGCACGTCGATTTTTAGAAGCAGCCTTTAACGACGCTAAGCGTGATGTCGCCAGGCTTGCTACTATTCGCTAACTGAGATGAAATCTATGGTGAAGCCTGGATACTTCACAGATCTCATGAACCGGAGGAAGCGGAAGCGAATTAACCCACATGTACGAACAAGTACCTTTAGTAGGAAATTCTCAGTCAGCTGAGGTCTTTGTGTCGCTATTAAGGAGCAGCACTTGCCCGAACACTAGGGACCTTATCGATCAATGTTTGCTGCTTGTCGGAAGCCTGTGCTTACTTTGCGGTGCCCCACTGGTGGCACTTTCTCATAGCGCCTGTCTGAAGTTGACGCATCTTCAATTGTCGTTCAACTCGGCGTGGGCATTGTTTTGAGTCCCCTGGCTGAAGCTGCGCTGATCGATTGGATGTTAGACAATGGCGCCGTTAGATGTGCTAGCTCGTTCCAGGCTTCGAAGTCGCGCGGGGACAAACGGTGCCTGTTTGTCATTGCGACCTACGTTCCCACAGACTGTAGCACTAATTCCGTGAAGGCTGATTCTTATCACAAAATTCGTTACAGAAAAAGTGCGGGCACTGGTGCTTGCTGGTAATCTGAACGGTAAGCGGTTGCCACACCTGTGTGAAGATGCGCTTGTCTTTCTCGCGAACACAAACTTACGCAGAGGAGTGACTTGGCTCTCACTAGCCACGGACGCGATAAGCTGCCGCTGGAGAGGCTATGTCCATAATCGTCTCTCGATTTTGAGTACGCGTTGATACCGTCCGCACTTTTGTGTGTACCGACTTTCGGGTACGTTCTGCCGGACGTGCACAACGTCGCTGTGAGTGCATAGACACCAGCCGACTGGCGAAGCTAAGTGTTCTGAATGTGTGTCAAAGTACACTGGCATTCGAGCTGAGTAAGCACCCACTGTAGACCGTTGTAGATCACTGGTCGCATATTCGCCAAGCATTAATATCAGAAGAGATGAAATTGCCAACCTGGACATTGGGTCTGCAAATTATTTGGGAATTCTGATTGATCGTTAACATATATATATATATATATATATTGCCACAGTATATGAATAGACATTGAGCCATCGGAAACCATGGAACTCGAATGAAAGTACAGACATAGTAAAAGAAAACACAACACATCGAAATCCATGGTTTCGTCAGAGGGCGAGATACTACCCGGTTGTCCAAGCCGAAGTAGAGTGTTGACTTAGGGGACACCATCCTGAGCCTTTGGCTGAATAGCCTGCCCGCAAGGCAGCGGAGCGAATTCAGGGAATCGTGCCCATTGGGAGCCGGTGACTGATTGCTCAGTTCATACGCCTTTCGTTTGTTCCTTTGTTAAACAGCAGCATAAACTTGCTGGAATACAATGCTTCGCCAGGATGAAGCAAGGGGCAGTGACTTTATTTAGTGGCGAGTCATGTCCGCCACGTCACAGTGTTGTTAAACGGACATATGTGGCTTTTTATAGGGAGAACGCTTGTCAGGCGAAAACCCCCCACGTCCTGGAACACTGCCGCCGGACCATTTGCCGGAACGGGAAAATCCCGAACCACGCAGCTGGCACCACGATGAGATTGTTCGGAAATGGAAAGGGTAGCTACCGTGGGTAACTATCATAAGTTATTCCGTCTGGGAAACAGGTAGCAAAGACCTGGTGTTATGTTTTGTGACTGGGTTCCCCAGCCGCGTCAAAAGAAGGAACTCACCTCGACTCTGCACGCAAACGCTATATCCACAACTCTGAGGCAAAGTGCATTTAACTGTGTTTTTCAAAACTCACCTGTCCACTTGATCGGTTGGCTGATCGACCACACTGCGGTAGGCGATTCCATTAGCTCCCACTTTCAGCCCCATCATATCCTTTTCTTTTTTAATATGTTGTTGCAATAAGTTCCCTACGGTTTTCCGCTGCGCGTACGCTTGCTGTCTCTGCCTAAGGTTTTAGGTGCCCTTTCTTGTTTCTGCTGCCGAGCTTCGCTTTGCGGAGTCCGTCCATTACGTGCTCTCTTAATTTTCACCCGATTCCGTCTAATGGTATTGCTCCCTATCCTGACTTCGTAGCTTCTTTCACCGTTGCGACCCTCAATCACTCACCTCCGCCAACGTTCTCCCGAATCCGATATTGGTTGCACCTCTACTTCTTCTAAAGCTAAGGGTGGGAGGCATTTCGATCCACGATCGTAGTACTTCTTTTGTTTTAGCATTCCTTTCCGCAGTCGGTTGTGCACAGAAGCGCCCGGTGCTATCTCGGGCTGTAGCAGCATTGTAGCGGCCGGTAGCAACGTTCTTGTTCTGCGACTGAATAGTCGCTGCGCTGGACACTGCGATCTCGGTAGACGGCGTGTTTATTCTCTCCAACAGCATTAGGTAGGGATCCTCGTGAGTATCCTTGGGCTTGGTAAGTACTTTCTTCGCCTCCTTCATTGCTGACTCAGCCTTCCCATTTGATTGGCTGTGGTAGGGGCTGATGGGCCGATGCCTTAAATCCCACTTGCTAAAAGCGCGGAACTCTGCACTACTGAATTGCGGCCCGTTCTCGGAAATCAACACTTCGGGGATTCCATGTCGAGCGGATTAACACCGTAACTTGTTCACTACGGCTTGTGCGCAGGTTGACCTAAGGGCATCAATCTCGAAGTAGTCACTGAAATACTCGACCACACTCAAATAGCTCTTCCCATCGTGAACAAAAATGTCCACTCCGGCCATCTGCCAGGGGCTACCTGGAACGTCATGAACCATCATCGGCTTCTTCGGCTGGCAAACATCGTGTGTCCTGCATGTCAAACAGTTCAATACATAATCTCGTATTTGCCTAGTCATTCCTGGCCAGAACGTCAGCTCACATGCTTTTGCTACGCAATTGTTGATTCCCAAATGTCCCTAGCGTACCATCTGCAGCATTGAACGTTGCAATGCCTTAGGAACCAATATCCTGTTGTCCTTGAATATTAATCCGTATTGGGTGATGGGTTCGTCGCGAAAATGTAAGAACGGAGTAAGCTCTGGGCAATTTTTTCTTGTCTTTGGGCCATCGGTCTATTATCGTCTGCCTCACTAGCCTGCACTGTTCGTCCTCCGTGCACCGCAAACGTATCTTAGTGACCGCGATCAGCTGTGTTGCGTGGACAAAATCCGGGTCTTCTCCCAGTTGCGGTGTCTGACAGATGAGTCCTTGACAACGTGTCCGCAATGTACATCTGGGATCTTGGTCGGTAGAATATATCCAAGTCATACTTCTGCAGACGAATGAGCATCCTTTACAGGCGGCGTGGAGCGACATTGAGTGGCTTACTAGCCGTGGATACAAGTGGTCAATGAAGACAGTTGTTTTACGGCCGAATGTATAATCGTTGGAGCATTCTACGGCGTAAATCAGCGCCAGCATTTCCTTTTCAATTTGTGCGTAACGGCGCTCGGCGTGTGTGAGCGTGCGACTGCGAAAATCGACAGGCTTACCGCTTTGCATAAGCACAGCTCCAATACCGTATTGGCGACTGTCACACTGAATCTCGAGCAGAAGCGACGGATCAAAGTAGTCTAGGACAGGCGCCTTGGTAATTAATCCCTTAATCTTCCTAAAGGCATTTTCTTGCTCAGTGCTAAGCTTCACCCTTCTGGGTCAACTTCCGAATCGGTATCATCACATCGGTTCAAGTAACCGTTTAGCCTGCTAACCGCCCTTGCATCTGTGGGGGGACACATCTCGTTTATGGCTCTGATTTTTTCTGGATCCGGTTTCAGCCCTGTTGAACTCAG